ATGCCGGATGGGAAGAATCCGAACCAAGTGACTCGGATAGTGATGAAGAAGGAGCCAAATTTGCTCTTCATGACCCAAATGTTTGTTTCATGGCAAATGAACAAGAGGTAATATCCGAGGCCGAAAGTGAATCTTTCTATATGCAATGTGACATAGCTATGGCATTAGAAGAGTTGAACTTTGAATTTAAAAGAATGTCTAGTTAGAATTTGAAAAAAAATTTGTGAAGCAAAATTCTAGAGGAAGGCGAGATCTACAACTTTTGTGAAGGAATTTCGTACGAATCAACCGTTTGAGAGATCAAAACCTCTTCTAAAGGCAAGTTCGTCTCTTTCCAATCTCATCCGAGTTAGAATTTGAAAAAAAATTTGTGAAGCAAAATTCTAGAGGAAGGCGAGATCTACAACTTTTGTGAAGGAATTTCGTACGAATCAACCGTTTGAGAGATCAAAACCTCTTCTAAAGGCAAGTTCGTCTCTTTCCAATCTCATCCGAATTAATTTTAATTTTGATGGATTAAACCCTAAATTGATAAATAGAACTTTAGATCAAATCCCTAAATCAAGAAAAGACATGATCTAGATGATTAAAACGCAAAAGTCACTGTTCACCATCGGAATTGTTGTTAAACGATCGAGACTTGTTAGTTGTGCACATTCGCCGCTCGGTCGACTAATGAGATATCAATCGACTGATCGAATGTCAGTCGATTGATCCTCAAGGGGATCGACTGATCTGGTGTTGTTCTGCATATGTTGGTCTTCCATGCACGTTTGATCGTAAACACGAAGTACGAGCTGCACGTCGATACACATGCGTGACCATGTGAGTCTACATTTTGGGTTTGAGCACGCACGGGCCTTTGGGAGTGCGTAGTCTAATAATTTGTGTTTGTCACGATAGGGAGTGACGATTGTTTCGATTTACAATAGTTTTGAATGCTTGAGTGCGTTAGTCCATGCATCGCATGAGAACGCGGGTGACTACACTCTTAGTGCATTAGTCTGTGCACCGCAAGAGATTACGGGCGACTACACTCCGTGGTGCATCTTTGTTTAGGTGGTTGAGTGCGTTTGTCCGTGCACCGCATAATATTGCAGGCGACAGCACTCCGAGTGCGTTAGTCCATGAGTCGTATGAACTATGAAGACTACACTCTACATCTTTGGGACGCCTAGGACTCAGGCGAGTACTGTTTGTGGACGTAGTCCAACATTGTGGCATTCGTATGTGACAGTACACACTTTTAACGAGGATTTCACAGGGTTGTATATTTATTTCCGTGCCACTACCCGAGGGTAGTGTGAGATACTATGATTGACATGCATGGCATGTCCTGGATGAGATGTTGATGATGTATTTCTGTATTACTTGTTCATAGGATTTTGAGTTGATATTTAGCGACTCACAATTTGAGATACATCTAATACTATTATAAAAGTGTGTTGCCATATTAAAACATTTCTTTCGAAAATACCCTCCAAGTCTTGCTAAAACACATACATGCATACATAAAAACACATATATGAATACATAAAACACATACATACATAAACCATACCGCTTTAAATCTTTTTCATAAGCACCAATTAAATTAAATGTAATAAATACACCTCCAATTCGTATTCACTGCCATTAGAAAATTAATTCAATTAAACTCCTTATCTCTTATTATATAATAATAACTCAATATAATAATATCTATTAACATGTACTAAAGAAATGATAATAAAAAATAAATATTTATAATTAGATTAATAGGAATATTAAACATTTAATGTTAATAAACAATAAATACTTAGCAATATGTTAACAATTATTATAATATATCAAGTATATCATGCGTAAGCGTAAAATTCCTAAGGCAACAAGGTGTTCGGATTCTTTTGCAGACATTTACTCTGTAATCAATAGATATGGATGTGTGTTATAATTCTTTCAGTTTATAACAACTTATTGTTAAAAATAATAAATACATACATGTTTTTCCAGTAACATGCAAACCGAATAAAGATGCATAATATAACGCACGTATTGATATTTCAGTTTATAACAACTTATTTGTCAAAAGGGGGCAAGATGTTCGAGATTCTTATACTAAAATTAAGATTTTCAAGCAACGTACCATGAAGTTTAATTAATTCACCCAATAGGTAAAATTTATCCTTTTTCTTGAGTGAAGGTTTATTAGAAAAAAAAATCTCATTTCTTGGTTTAGATTATTGGAATCCAGTAAATAAGTTTAATTTTATCGATAAATGGGTGCGCTGCTGAAAAAGTGAGGTCAGAAGGAAGGCACTAGCTTTGGAGGTATCCAAGCGGGTCAAAATCTTTAATTCTTCATTCTCTATTTTTATGTATTTTTTCTTTCATTTCTTGCCACATATCAATGTATGTGTATTTTTATGTATACACATATGTCAATATATAGTACGTAGAAGCTAGAAAGAGACTACTAACGATTCCCAGCTTTCTAAGTGAGGGAATCTGAATTCTCTCCAGGATGATAATTAGAGTAGAGGTTTGACTCCTCTCCAATTAGGGGGATCTGGATTTTCTCCAATAATCTCAATATTTATCATATATTTGGATTTCAATGGATGAGATTACGGCACGTAGGTTTTCTGCTATTGTTTTGAAAACCACTTTTCTATTAAAATCCCCTATTGTGAAAACCAATATGACAATAGTGCAAAAGAAAAAACATTAATTAAAACAAAAGTTCCAATTTATACAACTTATGCCTAAGATATTACCTTAAAATACATAATTGTTAATTTCTACAAATGATGCCTATGATCGGCCCTTGAATTAAAACGAAAGTTAATGACTCGAATAATTGGATCCTCTCTAATTACCACCAAATTAGAGATGAACTAAATTCGAAGTGAGGACAACGTCCATTTTATGGTGAGTTTTTTACTTTTTTTTAATAAAAATTATTGCAAATTATTTATTAGTTTTAAATTAGTTCTTATTTTTGTTTCCTGAGATGGTTTTATATGACCGAATAACTGAGATTTTTCTAAATTTTTCCAACTTCCCCTAAATTAACTATTGCTCGGAATTCTTTAAATGGGTTTTGATATAGGTTATGGTGCACTTTTAAAGTTTATGGAGGGCGAATGGGGAATCTTATAAATGTTACTAGGGCTTATATGCAATTTATAAATTTATGGGGGTGCAACAACAACTCAACTCAAGAATCTAAATTCGCCCATGGTTTCACATATCGTGCACATATAGACCCTCAGTTGTATCTAGATTCACTTAAATACCCTGAAGTTTCTATAAATTGTAATTTTAGTACTGATTCTAGAGCCATCGGTGCTTAGGGGTAATAATGCTCGAGTGATGCATAGTTATAAGAAGTTACATGCTGAAGGAAATGAAGTCTAAAGAGGATATTGGCGTCCTTGGGCTACGTATTTTGCTTGATTTGTCGGTGATTGTGTAGAGGCTTAACACTACTTGATTCGTTAGTGGTGTGAAGTAATTTGGGGCTCTCATCAGGTACCCTCGGTCATGCAAACATGATAATTCTCCCTCAAAAACTCTCATGCAATGCTAATTTTAATACACTTTAACTCTTACTATTTGTTAAATTTACTATTAAACCTATCAAAATATTTAAAATCAATTAAGCCTTTTTATATTTGTGGTTCATTTGTAGTTATCTTTATGAGTGAACAATCTAATATATATTTATACATGACAAGGATAACAATTTTAATTATCCGTTGTGTTAGATAAGTTCTTATATAATTAAAAAATTTAGAACAACAAACAAATACAATTTCATGTGCAACGCACGTGCACTATACTAGTGGTATATACATGAGGGTTTTCTTGTTTGGATTATTCGCTCGATGTACTCATCTCGTGTTGTGGGTTTCTAAATCTTAACTCCTCTTAGTACAGGGTGTATAATTTATATATTACGTGCTATGACTAGTATTGGCGGTAGAGATGTTCTTGCTAGCGCTCTAACGCTCGTTGATTCCATCTTTTTCAGGTAGCGGGTCAGGGATCTGGAAAGCCGCAAATTGACAGAGACTCGGCATAGTTTATCGTCATTTATAGGTAACTAGTTAGTGCTGCACATTAGACTATTTATGATTTTAATCTTTTAGAGATGTATTTTACTTTGGAGGCTAAGTGTCTATGTACTATTCAGTTGACTCTTATGCGTTAGAGACTCATTGTTCTTATTTCAGTTTATCAGATGTATTTTTCTTTCTTATGTTGGGACATAATTACAGTTACTATTGAATATCTCTTCTCTACATTATGTTCATTGTAGTCTCATCTTTATTATATCTGCTTGTACCCTAACTTCTTTGCATTTGACATCTGCTAGAATGATATTAATGGTGACAGTGAAACGTGTTTATGCACAGTGTTGGGTGCATGGCCGGTTTGACATCTTTGGGTTCACTTTGGACTGCAGTCATGTGTGAAAACAGGGGCGTCACAGCATATACAATAAAAGGAGTTTATTCTTGCTTTAATAAAATGGCGAAACCCTATTAAAGATAAAACCCTGAAACATAATTCTAAAGAATAGCATGACCTTTGATAATTAGTTCAGTATGAATTGACAAATTATTGAATAAATAAACCTGTATTTCTTTTATAAGGAACAAAACAACTATATTCGTCCTACTCATAGTGTGCCACAAAGCCACTCAATAAAATTTAACATCAGATGAATGATGAACATGTAAGAAATATTTGCCCAACGAATGTGAACATATACACTGAGTGTACCTGTTGAAAATGGCAGTGTTATTTCATCTGTCTTCTCAACCTTTGATGACGCTAGAGATGATAGCCAACACTAAATTTCATTTATCCATCTCATCTTGAGTGCTGATCAAGAAAATTTCCATCAGTAACTTAATCAAAAACTTGGAGAATAGTTATGACTATAAAACAAGTCCGAATAATTCAGCAACTTTCCGATAAGTGTTTCAGTAGTGCGATCATACCTTCATGACCTTTGCTCACCATTTTTCGAACATTCAATACGTATCATGAAGAATTCAGTCAAGATTATTAAATGACGATTAGTTGTGTCACTGTAATTTGAGGCAATCACCAATAATCCCCACAAGAACAACTCCCCTCCCTGAAACAATGATATCTATGTGCATCCCTCACTGTAATCTCCCTCCCTGTTATCCTGGAAATAAACTTAATCGCAGTGTGGCAATCACCACATATCCTAAGGTTCTTCACAACCAATATCGGTTCCCCATCTCGAGTACTAATCAACCCAAAAGCGACCGCAAGCTTCTCGCTATGATGCTCTAGTCTCAGCTCCCCCTCTCTAGAATCATCCTTGGCCATTGCCCACCTAAGATCAGGCACATACCCGGCTGCCTTCATTTTCTCCACAATCTCCTCCAAGAACATATAAACCTCCTTTATCTTTGGGTGAGAAACATCATCAGCAACAAATATGTGGACCTTTCTATTCAATTCGATCCAACTACATCCAGGTTTTTTCTGTACTCCTCTGTCTTTCATCAGCTTTCTAACTGAAGCAACCTCATCCCATTTCCCTTTTGTGGCATACAAATTTGAGAGCATTGCATATGCAGCAGCATTTGAGGGTTCAAGCTTGAGAAGCTCCTCTGCTGCCTTAGCACCCAATTTGAGATTACCATGAGTCCTACATGCACCGAGCAATGCAGCCCAACCGATTGTATCTAGGTCAAACGGCATTGAGTTGATCAGCTCCTCAGCTTCCAGAAACATCCCAGCACGAGCTAGGAGATCAATAGCACAAGAATAATGTTCCTCCTCCGGCTCAATGCCATATATATTTTTCATTGAATTGAAGTAGCCCAAGCCTTCGTCGATTCGCCCAGTGTGGGCACAAGCTGAGAGCACCGAGATGAATGTGATGCTTGTAGGAGAGTTCTTCAATTCAAGCATTTCTTGAAACAGATCCAATGCTTCATTTCCAAGCCCATGCTGAGCATAACCAGCAATCATAGAATTGAATGAGACAGTGTTACGCTCTGGCATCCTACTGAAGATCTTCTCAGCATCATTGAGTTTTCCACACTTTGAGTACATAGAAATCAAAGCATTGTTAACTGCTATCAGACTGCTAGGGAACTTTGTCTTCATTGCTAAATTGTGCAATTGTTGTCCTTGTGATGGAGATGAGAGGTTCGAGCATGCACTGATGGCACAAACAAAAGTGCAATCATCAGGTTTAAACCCAGCTCGTTGCATCTGTATAAAGCAATGAAGACCCTCCTCAGAGAATTCACCATTTAAAGAGTAGCCCGAGATCATTGTATTCCAAACGACCAAATCTGGTTCGTTTACTTCTTCAAACACCTTCTTAGCATTGAGAATTTCACGAGATTTGGAGTAGAGATCGATTAAACTGCTGCCTACATGAGAATTGCGCTCAAACGAGGTTTTGATTAGTTGGGCATGGAACTGGGCACCACCCCTTATATCTTTCACACTCGTAAATGCTGTCAACAAACTCGCTAGGGTGAACATGTCAATGTCAAAGCCGCTATGGACCATTTCCTGGAAGAACAAGCATAAACTAAACAAACAATTTGACAGATTTCAACATGAAGAAATGATGAAACCTACCAAAACTCATTCCACATTAAGATGAAAGGTTCTTTGAGGTCTAAAAACATTTATCAACGACTGTAACTGTAGAAAATATGAGTAATGGATTGTCTAGATTCGATATACCACTATATTGGACATGTCCGAAAATTTGCACTTAGGGGCTCGATCTACAACAATACAACTGCGGGGGTTCTAACCTGCAAGTAACCCTTAAAAATAAGTGAAATGGGAAAAATTTTCATTTCTTCCATGAGTACCTGAAACAAGCTCAAAGCCTTCAATCCTTCACGATGCTGCCCGTAAGCCACAATCATACAATTCCAAGAAACTCCATCTCTCTTCTCATTGCCCATCCCTTCAAACACTCTCTCAGCCTCCATCAACATTCCCATTTTGCTATAAGAGCTCATTAACACGTTCCCAACAGACACATACACATCCAAACCTGAAACCATCACCAACCCATGAAATTGCTCGACCCCACTGCCATTCAAACTCGATATCACTGATGACAACGTGAACCCATCACAATCCAAATCCCTTTTCCTCATTTCATTGAACAAATCAACCGCATTGTCGCTCCAACCACCGACCGCAAAAGCAGAGAGAAGGGTGTTGTAGGAGACAACATCAGGGTCCGGGATTCGACGAAAGAGAGCGGTCAAAGAATCTCCTGAGGTGGAGAGGCGAGCATGGGCGTTGAGGAGGACGTTGTAGGAAAAAACATTTGGGTGGGGGATTTCGTCGAACAGTTGGTTGGCGAGAGAGAGGGAGTTGCAATTGGAGTAGAGGAGGACGAAGTGGTTGGAGACGTAGGTGGACTGGGGAACGAAGGACTTGATGTAGAGGGCGTGCAGGGCAGCGCCGGAGACGAGGTTGCGGCCGGAGATGCAGGATTTTAGGAGGGCGCGGAATGTTTGGAGGGGGCTATTAATGAGAGGGAATTGATTCATTTGAATCCGCACTTGTGGTGTTAAAAAGGTTTTTGTTCTTTTATCGGTGACCGTCTTTTAATTCACAAAACCCTCGTCAACTTTTGGGTGTGTATCATGTAACCCTTCTAAATTTTGTTTAGCTCACATAAATCTCTAGTCTTTGGAGTGTTTCACAAGAGGCCCCTTTAATTGTGAACTTTTGATCAAACTCGGTACATATACTTTTGCAAATAACCAACATTTTTTTGAGAGAATAAAAAACCCGAAATTTAGGGGAAGAGGTATGTGATAAATGACAGTTTTTTTCCCCTTTCTTTTTTTCTAAGTTAAACGCAAGGTGGTCAAGCGAGATAAAGGTTAAAGGTCAAGAGCTATTATGAAACACCCCCAAAGTTCAAGTAATGTGGCACAAACAAAGTTCATGGGGGTAATATACAATAGACCCCTAAGATCAGGAGGTTTATGTGAAAATATTCTTTTTCTTTTTTACTAGGAAAATTATGTTTGACCAACTAGTGTTTGAAGTCGTTTCTTTGACAGCCCAATAGCTTTGATTTTAGGAGGGTGCAAAAAGTAATGAGGGCGATGGTGATCAGGGGGACAGTTGGGTTCATTTGAACGCAGGCTATGGTTGTCCAAGGAGCTTTTTCTTTCATCTATGACTTTATATTGAAATTCTCTTAGCCCCACTGCTATATGAGTTGTTTCTTGTGCACCCTAGAGCTTTTCATGGGTAGAAGGCTAAAGTTTGATAAAAATGTGAAGATTGCTTGCCAATAGATAAAAGTGGAAAGGTTGTTACACATGGATGGAGAAATTAATTTTAGACCAAAATCATGGGACTAATTATGAGACATGTGAGGTGTATCTATAGTAGCCATTGATCTTGATTAGAATCACAAAAAAAAAGACACGCATCACTCTATCTCATAGTTGGTCCCATGAATTTGCTATGAATTTTGGGTCCAAAAAGGAATATCTTAAATGTTGTCGGTATTGATGATTTATCTTGTTTGATTAACATGGATGGTGACGACCATGACGAGGATGTCATGGTAACAAGTTTGCTCGAATGGAAATCAAGCACATCTTCGTGCATGACTCTTCGTGCACGACCTCATATTCCTACAAAGGTCAATTAAGAAGAAACATGAGGGGAAAAAGGATAGAATAGTGAAAGAAGAGGAGGAAGAATGAGAGAAGAAGTTTAAGAGAAATTAGATTGGATTAATCATAATGTTTGTTCTTACAATTTCCTCTCTTAGTCATTATACGCCTGGTACATCTACAGATCTACTATTGAAAGACGAACAACTTATCTGAACTACCTACATCGTCACTAATTTGTTGGTTGCTTAATTCCACTATCGCCAAGATTATCGGCCAGCTAAGACCCCTAACAATTCTCCGTCTGCAATGGGCTCTTACTCGAGACCAAAGAAGGATATTTGGCGATAAATGGTAGTGTTCCTCCCATGAAGCCTTAGTTTCTTCACCTCCTCGCCGCTTGGTTAGAACATACACCACCACCCCTTGCTTGCCAGCATCTTAAGCTATAGGTCTAGAATCTTTTCAGGAATAGGCTTTGCTTCTTCCCAAAGTTTTGGTATGTCAGTTGCTGGGATGTATGAAATACTAAGTGCACTTTTGATTCACTTGGAAGATAAAATTTGTATGCTACGCTGCCCACCTAAGCTTCAACGACATAGGGTCCATAAAACCAAGTCGCTAGCTTCTAGATCTTCCTACAACCCCTAGAAGTTTGTCTAAAGCGAAGAAGAAATGTCATCAACATTGAACTCTTTGTCCCGTCGCTTCTTGTGGGCATACCTCTTCATTGCATCCCTTGCTTTGTAGAGGATATCCTTTAACAGTTGCAAATTTGCATCTCTTTGCCAGAGAGTGTCCTACACTAATTGTACCCTTGCTTTGTCGGTGTAATATCTCAATCTTCTTCATTTCGATGACCAGATACCGTTACCCACACCGGTACCAAGCCTTATAATTGGTAATTTCAACACACGCTTTACAATGACACGAGAATATTACTTTGACTGTGTCTTCATTAAGGTCATTAATCTAATTTATTTTGTTCACAAATAATTGTTAGTATGAACCATAATTAATTATGGCTTAAACCCTAGTTAAAATTTATTCCAAAATATCATTATACCATTCTAAAACTATATATAATTGTATTTTAAACAATTTTTTGTTTGCGATAATAGAAAGGGGGAGTTTTACACAAAAGCCCTCATTATTTGTACTATTTCAAGAAACCTAAGCACATGTGCTAGCTAACACCACAGCCCCTCCCCCAGCCAGCTAACACCACAGCCCCAACACCTCCATCCACCATTTCTCCACCACTCAAGTCTCATTCCTCTAGCAAGAAGGAAGAAATAGGTCAAGTGTCACGCCCAACTTCCCAAAATAACAGGGAATCGGAATGTGAATAAGCCCGCGACATATTAGACTGAGGAGAAATAAGTACTTGATCATTCTACTCAATCTAATACGCTAAGCGTCGAGCAATATAATACGAAGTCACAAATCCCTGATCACAGTAGAAAGAATATAATAAACAACTCAGAACCAAAAGATACATATCACAACTGAAATATCATTCAAACATAATATTCGGGCCAAACATGCCCTTAGACAAAACTATCTGAATGAAATGCTGGAAAGATATAAAATACATCGATCAGGTGGAAATGGAAAGTACTACAAAAGTAAAATAGGGTCATCAACTAAACAAAAGAGATAACTAAGCTTTGACGTGTTCTTCTACTCCGTCCGTAAGGCCTTCCTGCGGAGGATACTCTAACTCTTGTACGACTCCGAACTGAACCTGTCCGCCCTCTAAATCTGACGTCTATTCCAAGAGAAAAGAAGTACGTCAGCGTGCATGGCACACGGTAAGATCTCACAAGGAAGAATAGAAATGGTCGTACAACCGATGCAATAACAGTAATAATAATAGAAGCATGGTACTAGAATTCTAATAATCTAAATGCAATCCACTACTAGAATATAACGATTAGAGTAATCATGCAAGTAACTAGGTCATACAACTAGATGGAATTAATACTTAAAAATCTACAACACGAGACGTAGTACGTCGAGTGAAATAATCCAAACAAGAAAACTCTCATATATATACCATATGTCTCAAATTGTAGATAATTAAATATCAATCTCAATCTATGTATGAAAAGATATATAACTGGTCCACATCTCACAAGAATATATAATTATCTAAGTAACGAGGTCATGTAACTAACCATCCTATAACAGGTTACTAGTCCATATCTCACATAGAGTCAACGTTCATATTATCGGATAACTGACTGTTCACAAACCGGTCAGAGGACCACACACAATCCGATTTCGGTCTGGTCCGAACTCAAGTAAAACTCGGGTGACTACACAAATTTACTGACCAAAGTGACTACACGAATTTACTTTTGTCCAACAAACCAACTCCAGTGACTACACAAATTCACTGGTGCGAGCCTGGAAGATACATCAACAGCCACATCCGATCACATGAACCAAGACTTTCCCACCCCAACTCTTCTTGTTTTTCTAAGTCAACATACACATGTCTCTAGGTCTTGTACAAGGCCACTAAGGTCATGAACTACTAACGGTCCTCAATCACAATAAGAAATAATAATGTAACTGATCATGTACAATAATATCATGGCATATCACATAATTAAATCTAAGAATTATAAATCATAAAATTGTTCTAAAATAATCTTCTAAAATAATAAATTTATTTACTTAAAATAACCCTTTTGCAAAATAAGTTATTTTCCTTACGGTATATTATTTATTATTATTAATTAATATTATTCATCAAACAAAACCCACACAGATAATTATATCCCAATCTAATATAAGAAGATAATTCATAACAGATCTAAAATTGTAATGACGAGTCAATAAGAAACGGGATCTTGCCAGCGAGGCCAAGGGGCCAGTGGACGGGACAGCGACGGTGAGGAGCGCTGCTAACCGTGCCGACGGTGTGCTGACCGCGTCGACGGCGCTGCAAAGAGCTTGAGGAGAGCGGCGGAGGCTGCTGGAGCAACTGCTACAAAGGTGCGATGGGTTAGCATCGTGCTGTGTGCGGCGACGACGAAGTGGAAATAGGTGGTTTGGCATGGTGGATGAGGCAGCCGGAGGGAAGAGGCTGCAGGGCTGTCACGCGTAAGCTGAGGAGTGATGATAGGGGGTGAGCTGTGTTGTGAGTGAGGGGAGCGTTGAGTGAGAAGGAGGAAGCTGGGGCTGGAGAGGAGAGGCGATGGTGTGGGGAGGCTGGAGTGGAAGAGGCGGAGTAGAGTAACCGGCCGCCTGGGCGTTTGCTGAGGCGGCGGTTGGAGGAGTTGAGGGCGTGTGGTGAGGAGGGAGCAGGAGGAGGAACGGCAGGAGCAAAAGAGTGCGGCATGGTCGGGTAGCTGGAGTTATAGAAGGGGCAGCTGCAGCGAGTGTAGGGAGGCGAGCTGGGCGGCAATGAGAAGAGGAAGAGAAGAGAACTGGACACTGCTGAGGAAGTTGAGGGCGTCAGGGAGAAAGCTGGCAGGGTCGCGAGAGGGGAGGGGGCGAGGAGGTGGCAAAGCTGGGAGCTTAGGGCTTGGGGCGGTAGGAATGAGGCCATGATGGAAACGGTGACGCGTGTTAGACTGAGGGGGCGTGGCTGAGTTGGGTTGAGTGGAGAGATGAGAGAGAGAGAGAGAGAGGAGAGAGAGAGAGAGAGAGAGAGAGAGCTGATGAGAGGAGAGAGTAAGTGGAGGTTCTTTTGAGGAGGAGAGGGGGAAACATGAGGGAGGGGGAAGCAGAAATTGAGGAGGGATTTAGGGAAGTGGGGGTAGGGAGGAGAGATGAGAGATTAGAGAGAGAGAGGCAGATTGTTTACAGGTAACAAGGAAAAAATATACTCTTTTCAAAAATAATAATTTAATATTTAAAATACCAGAGAAATTATTCAAATCAATATCGAAAAATTTATGGTCATTATATTCTACCCCCCTTAAAACAAATTCCGTCCTTGGAATTAAAATAAGTGTGATGCACAAAGACCCAATGATAGAGATATGGAACGAGAGACTCAATTCAACACATATAGAGAAGAATTTAAAATAAATTGTATATCCATAAGCAGAGTGTGAGAAAATTATAGTTAGTCAAACACAATCAAAATACAGACACACAAACACTAAGTTATCACAATATAATTATACAATTCATTATAATAAAAACACTAGAGATATATGAATGTAAATATACAATTCGCTATAATAAAAACATTAAGTTATCACAATAGACA